ATGCGAGATCCTGTCTGGGCGAGCAGATCGGTGAGAGCCGCAGCATCGTCGGTTTCGCCTTCCCTGGGGTTGTCAACCTGTATGTTCACGTCACCGCCCCAGTAGGTGGGGGTGTCATCCCATCTCTCGATGGCCTGGCGGATGGCATCTATGGTTTCGGTCTTCCTAGACGGAAAGAGATACACCGACACCAGGCGGTAGACGTTTTCACCTTGTCTAATCGTGGCAGCAACGGCGCACCCAGGGACAATATACTCGGAACGAATAAGCGCAGCACCGTGCGGGATGAGGATCGCCACCCCGCCGGCGCGGCCTCCGGCCGGTCCTATGTAGGCAGGCGATGCTATAAGCGTGCGAGCATGGAACATGGTGGGCCAGACCGCCGCTTCATGCTCAGTCCAGTGGGTCTCCTGAATGAGCCCAATTCTCCCGTTGGTGGTCAGCTGCGTCAGAAAAGCGTGCTTGATCATGTTCTTGTGTGCTGTCGTACTCTTGAGGTATCTGACGTTCCAGCAGCCAAAATTAAGCGTACCGGGCTGTGTGGCACTCGCTATTGCGTCGACAAGGCTCCGTAGAGACCGGTCCCCACACATGTCCGCCCATGTGGGATTGGCACAGGCGATGGCGTGCAGGTAGGCCCAGAGGGACCGTGGCCGCCTGACGGTATAGTTGCAGTGCGGTGCTAGGGCACGACCCAGGGATGAGCAGGCAGCTTGCCACGCTCTAGTTCCCGCCCCCGGTGCGAGGTTCGTGATCGGGGGGGGCCCGGGGGCGCGATGTAGCGACCCTGGGTCCTCAGGCGAGTCTAAGGGAACGGCGGTCCGGGCGGGAAGTGCTGCTGCCGCTGCATTGTTCGTAGTATGTCGTCTGGAAAAAGGGTTTCCGCGAGGGGTGCCCATGGGCAGTTTCTGCCCGCGAAGCTGCGCGCCTGCCTCCATGCGGCCCACGCGTGCCTCTCGGTCGGTGCTGTGTGCTGCTGTCCAGGCATGGGTTCGCCCCGGCTCCATGCTAGGATGGCAGACGCGAGTCTACGCTGGAGGCACCTGGGGTCGAAGTGGATGCCCACGGCGTCGTAAAGCATTCTCCCACTGATGGCTAAGGACCGGTAGTAGGACCCCAGCCCCACTGCTCGAGCACGTTCCTCGGGGGAGGGGACTCGGAGTCCGTGCTCTCTTCCGTGAGCAAGCAGCCATCCTGCCCAGGCCTTGACCTTTCCTTCGCTGGCGAGGCTTTCCCGCTCTCTGCCTTGAAAGACGAGTGCCAGCCCCTCATTGCACCCCTGGAAGCGCTGCTCGGCTCCTGTCTCAGCGAGTATGTTCTTAATGCCATTCCTGGTGTCGGTGAGAGTGCGGAGGAGCCACCTGTAGCTGCTGTCTTCGCTGTGCAGGAGGCGCAACGGGTGCGTCTGGTAGCTGCTCGGGACTATGGCTTCAGGGGCGCTCGCTGGAGCTCTGGACTGGGTCCACGTGGGGATGCGTCCGTCTGGGCGGTATGTCCACCGTCTTTCCCAGGGACTCGGGAGTCTGGGATGCGTAATGGTGTCTTCGGCGGGGGGGCAATTTCTGAGCCAGAGGCGGTCTCTTGGGCAAGCCACCGAGGAGGCGGCATCGAGGCGCACCGCCCAGTCGAGCGGTATCTCTCCCAGGGCTGTGCACATCGCCTGTTTGTGTGCCGCCTGCATCGTGGCTACGTTTTCGCAGCGCACTAGCACGCGGATGCCCGGCCGCACCCTGCGCGCGATGATACAAAGGAGCGGGGCGACGAAGAAGTGTACCGACTGGGAACCGGCTAGTCCATCCAATCCTCCGCGTTGGCTCGCTGAGGACAGGTTCGTGCGCGGAAATCCGGCAATGATGACGAGGAGGCTTCCAGGGTCGAGGGTTCTCAGGTGACTGGTCCAGAAATTCTGGTCTTCTTCTCCCCTCAGCAGGTCCCAGACGTCTACCCCCAGCCTCTCGTGTGGAGGACCTCCGTCAAGGAGCGCAGCATTGTCGCGGCCCCAGCGCCTCTCCACGCGAGAAGCGGCTTCTTCATTAATTTCGACAAAGGTGGAAGACCTGAAGCGTGGAACGGTGGCGACCTTCGCCATGAGGTCTCCGATCGCGAGTCTTGCCAGTCCCCATCCGTCGAAGAGTGAGACCAGGTGGAGGCTTGGGCCTGTGTCCGCACGTGGGTTCGGTCTCGGGTCTACAACTCGAGCTCTCGCCTGCTGCGTGAAATCGAGTGTCCAGTCGTCGTCTTGTCCAGGGCCGACACTTGTATCGAGCCTGAGGTGTCCCGAGATATCCCAGGCGTCGTCAGTGGGGCAGAGGGGGACTAGGCCGTCCTGCTGAAGGGTCCGGAGCGTGCCGGTGATCTGCGTGTTACCCAGGCCTGCAATCTGATACGCCGCCAGCGTAGTGTCAGCAGGGGCAACTGGGGAGAGACCCGTTCGTTCATCCCTGTGGCGCTCTCAAACCTGTTGGAGCACGTCAGCGGGCTGGGGGGCCGCGGTGGCCTCGTCTGGTGTGAGTCCCGCTGGTCGGGGCCGCGCTCTGCGTGTTTGGCCGTCCTCTGCACTTGCTGGCCCCGATGCCTGTCTGGTGGTGCCGCGGCCTGCACCAGCGGGGGGAGCGCCCTCGGCTGCTCGGCGGCTGGTGCTCTCCCAGAGATCAATAAGGGACCTAGTGTTGGGTGTTCTGGTGCCTGGCCTGGTGGATCTTTCTCTGCTGGCGTTGCCTCCTGCTCTGGCTCGCGGGGTGCCCTGTGGGGTCGTCCGCTGCACCTCGTTTCTCGTCCCCGGGGGAGCTCGGCGGGAAGGGCTTCTGCGCGCCCTGGCGGCAGCAATGCTGCGCGGCTGAGCACTGGTTCTAGGCCGCCGTGGTCCGGCCGCGCTTCTAGTTCGACCACGCCCAGCTGCGGCGGTCTCTGCTGTGCTTTCGCCAGTTGCAGCCGTTGCGCGCGCGGGTCTGGGCGTGCTGGCACGACGGGCAGTGTTTTCAGTACTGCGGAGGTTCCTTGCGGAAGCCTCTACCGTTTCCCGTAAGACCTGGTCTCTGTCGTCGGAGCATGGGGAGCCAGCGCCCGCGCGCAGGCAGGTGCGGAGCATGCCGGGTGTGAGGTCCTGGAAGGGGGCGTCGGGAGCCAGTGCGCTGTCCGAGCGCGCCGCTGGGCTGCCTGCGAGCTGTCGGAGTTGGGCACAAGCCGCGTCCGCCGTTAGTGCGCTGTCCACCGCTCCGTCTCCTCCTGGCGTGCTGCCCAGGGATGGTGGTGCCGCAGCCGCGCCTGGTGCTGGTGCCGTTGCCTGTGGTTGTGTCCCACTTGCCTCTGCAGCCCGGCTGCCTTCAGCCCTGGTAGCGTCTCTGCTGGTTTGCTGGCCAATCGCCAAAGGGCCTGCGCCCGCCTGCTCTGGTGGCGCTGTCGCCGCCGTGGGGCCTGCGGGGGGCGCTGTCGATCCTGGGCTTGGGGCAGCTGGTGAACTTTCGGCGCTGGCTTTCGTTCCTGCTGCGGCGGCCGCGGGGTTTACTCGGCTGCGACTTCTGCGACCGTCAGCGCCTGGGGGGCCGACGTGCCTGTCTCCCGCATCCGCGGTCCTGGCCGCCTGTGAGCCTCCTCTCCGTCCTCGAGTGACTCTGCCAGGATCGTGGCGCTGCCGTTCTTCCCAGTGGAGGTTGGAGAGCCTGTTGATCAAGGCGTCAAGGGCGGCGGTGTCATCTTCTGGGATGGGATGTGAAGTGGCAGCGTCCACTTCGGCTCCTCTCGATCCAGGGACTTCGAGCCATGGCTGGTGTGCCGAGTATGTGGCGTCAGGTTCGGGCGCAAGCCATTGTGTGAACGGGAGCTGTCTTGTGACTTCCCTTTCGGATCCCGAGCTCACGAATGAGTTGCCACACGTGGTCACGGTCCAGGTTCCTCGGATTGGCAAGCTGCAGGATCCAAATGGCAGCGAACATGTCCCAGTTGTATCTCTGTATGGGCCGGCCTTCCAGTTGCCTGCGAATTTCGAGCGTGATCCGGCGCTGCACACCTCGGGCCATGTCGTGGACCATTTGCTCAGGGACAATTGCGACAAACCTGCCCAGCATGCCTCGGGCGATCCCTAATGCATCCTCGTCTGCTCGTACTAGGTCAGGCTTCCATCTTCACCCGCAGGGTTCCCAGGGATCCTAGATCTGTCACCGATCGGGTTCCCATCCATGCTAAGCCTGACCTGGCAGGCTGGCGGCCGCGCCGCGCCGCTGGGGGAGGTGTAATCCAGGGAGTCTGATATGGCTGAAGCGCGGCCCGGAGGCAGCGCGCGGCCCGCAAACTCCTAGGGGATACCCCCTTGGGCTGGGAGACCCAGCCGAGGGGCCAGGGCCCAGAGACGGCTTGAGCCAGAGGGCTTGAGCCAAGGGGGCTACGGACTGGCGTGGATACTTGAAGCGTCACGAAATCTGCCCTGTCCTCCTGCTCCTCCTCTTCTTCCTTGTAGTGTTTCTTCTCATCCTATTTGACGCTGCACGGACTTAAGGGCGTCATCTCTTCTCATCCTTCTCCTCCTCCTCCTCCTCCTCCACCTCCTCTTGCTCCTCCTCCTGCTCCTCCTCCTCCTCCTCCTCCTCCTGCTGGGGGTCCCAAAACGGTGCGGTCACAAAACCTCTCCGCACGGTCCCTCACCGCACCGTTCCGGGACCTCGGAGAGGCCCCCGTCCGAGACATCCTCCTCGGAACACGACCCTGGATCTCCCAAAACCGCGCGGTGCCCCTCGATCCCCACGGAACAAGCCCCATGGTGTGGTCACCGCACTGCTTCGAAGCCCCCGATCCTCCTCTCACTGGGGCAGTCGAAAGGTACGGATACCGCCATACTCCCCCGACCTCTCCCAGGGAGCGCCGTGATCAGAATCTCGAGGCGAAGCCTGCGGTGGCAACGGGGGCCTCCCAGGAGGCCCCGGAGGGGGACCACGAGGAAGGGTGGTGGCATGAGTACCTTTTCCTCCTCTGCCTCACTCTCCACTCCCCCCCCCCCCTCCAGCAGTTCAGCTCCCCGCTGAAGACGACGGGCCACGCCCCTCCGGCGCCCACGCCTGAGTCTCACGCTGCGTCGGCGGCCACAGGCCCGGCGGTGCGATCCGATGCCCAGCCGCGCTGGCTGCCATGCCGATCATGGACAGGCCAGCAGCTGGGTGTTGCCAGGATTCGGTCGGGCATGTCCTCCTACAGGCGGACTTTCAAGGTGAAATGCACCATGACCAACACACAACACCACAGATCACCAACACACACAGGGCGCCTCTGGCGGCCGTCCGGGAGGGTCTTCGCGTCCCACAGCGAGGCGCCAGCCGCGGCAGGCACTCCGAGGCTGGAAGACCGCCGAGGACCGACGAACGCGTGCGAGGGCGCTTGAAAATTGGACGCCCGAAGCGGGGTTCCCAGACCCCTTCGCGTTGTGAAAAAATCCCGGCGGGATTTTTTTCGCTATCTTCGGCCTCCGGAAGCCCCTACTGGGCCTCGGGACCGTCAAACAACGACTCGGAATGAAAAACCGGTCCAGGGGAATGGGTCGAGACCTCTGAGGGTCGACGTTATGAAAAAACATGGCGGGCCTTCTGTCTCAAATGGAGAACCCCCCGCGGCGACGCCGACAGCGAGTGCTATTCCACGTGAACAAGAACTGCTGTCGGTATTCGTACCCACTCCTTCCGCACAGTCGGGCTGCTGCAATAAGGAACGCCAAAGCACCTTTTTGGCACCAGGAGAGCCTGGGTGCACGAGGAAGGCTAGAATTATGTCGGGCGTGTCCCCCTACAGGGGGAGTGTCGACGAAAAATAAAAAATACCCTAAACATACTCAAAACATAGTCCAAAACTAATCCGGGGACTATTTTTGAGTATGTTTTGCCATGTTGGTGCTTTCCTTGGGTATTTTAACTTTTTTCGTCGGAAAGCCCCCTGTAGGGGGACAGGCCCGACTTAAGGCTAGAGGAACAATTACCGACGAACGCCAGGAACAGCGAGCCCCTTCCGAACCAAACGCGGCTCCTGTCCTAGGCATGCGACGTCCCGATTTCTTCCACACGCGGTCTTCGGGATGACGGTCTTGGGGCTCGGCGAGGGCCCTCGGCGAGGGCCCTCGGAGGCAGAACACAGCAAGAAACCTCCAGTCCTGATTTTTCCACGACGCGAGCATGCCTGGGATCTCAGCGTATTGACTGTAATTACCCATGCGTCTCGCCGTCGCTCGGATGTCCTTTCCCTGTGCACTTTTCGGTCTCGTGCGTGCTTTATTGGCCCGATGGTCGAGGCTGCTCCTCGAAGGTTCTCGTCGAACCAAAAATGCACACGTCCGAGCGATGTCAAGTCGATCGTACCGACGGGCAGCGGGCCACGATCGGCGGTGACCCTTCCACAGAAAGATAACAACGACTCTAGCACACACCTAACTGATTCCACATACCTCCTCCTCCTCCTCCTCCTCCTCCTCCTCCTCCTCCTCCTCCATCTTCCTCCTCCTCCTCCTCCTCCATCCTCCTCCTCCTCCTCCTCCTCCTCCTCCTCCTCCTCCTCCTCCTCCTCCTCCCCCCATCCTCCTCCTCCTCCTCCTCCTCCCCATCCTCCTCCTCCTCCTCCTCCTCCTCCTCCTCCTCCTCCTCCTCCTCCTCCATCTCCTCCTCCCGTGCCCCGCAGCGCCCCCCCCCCTAGGGGCGCGCCGAGCGGCGGCCCGGGGCCCCGCGAGCCGCGCGGGCGCACCCGAGCCCGCGGCCCCGCGCGCGCGCGAGGGCGCGGTAGCCCCGCAGGAGGTCCGCCAGGGGCCGCTGGGGGGGGCGCTGCTGGAGGTGCCCCTGGCCCAGGGGAGGAGGAACGCCATACATTAGATTCACCTTCAGATTCTATCGAGATCACCTGCGTGGAGGGGGACAACAAAGAGAGAACCAACGCCACAGACATGAGCTTTTGGAGCTCCGCGCGGATGTTCGGGATCCGCGCTGGACCCCCCTCCCCGGCGCGCGGAGCGCGCCAGGGGCGGCGGCGGCGGAGGCGCCGTCAGGAGGGCCCAGCGCGGATCCAAGAAATCCGCGCGGAGCGCCAAAAATTCATGTCTATGGCGTGTTTTCTTCTTCGAGAGATCGACGAGGCACCGATACCGCTCTCCCCGTTTTGTTTTTTGGGGGGGCTCCTGGGAGGCACTCGCCTCGTCGCCACCGCTGGATTCGTCTCGAAAGCCTGGTCAGAGTTACAAGGCAACTACTGGGAAGTCTTCGTCGGAGAAGTTGAGGAAGATGGACGCCGGATTTCGGCCGCGGACTAAACAAAAAGAGACCGGATGAAACGGGATGAAACCGAATAGAACGGGATTCAGCCGGATTTCGGACCAGGGCGAAGTCAGAACTTGACTCCCAGGAGTTCCATCCGAATCAGAAGACAAGGTACAAATACCAGAGGCCTCCTAAAACCCAATCTACTCCGACCCCATCTAAAAGGCCTAGAGATACCGCTACCCTTCACTACTTTCTCCCCTTTTTGTTCGGCCTCCTGTGAGGCCCTCGTCGCTACCGTTGGATTCGCCTTGAAATCCTGGTCAGAACGCGCCCCAGGAGAGGTCCGGGGAGTCAGGACGAAGCCAAAACGGTCCCAAATCGGGTGAGGATACATCGGGAATCTCTGAAATCTGGCGGCTCCAGAGGATGTCTGGGGCGCCGCGGCCTTCGCAGAGCGTTCCAGAAAGCTCTGAGAGCATTCCGGAACGCTCTGGAGCAGACGTATCCTCGCCCTGGCCCCGTCCGAGCAAATCCCACAGGATTCCCAAGGAGGCCCCCGTGGCCTCCACATCACCCCGCACGAAGACCAGGGGCACCCGCAGCAGCCCCCGGCTGGAAAAGAACGTCGAAGCCGTCCACGAAGACGACCGTGTCGTTCGCCGGGACCCGGCGGATCGCGCGGGCGAGGAAGACGTGCTGGGGAGGAAGCTCTTCATCTTTAGATTCTATCGCGGTCACTTGCGTGGAGGGGGGACAAAAAAAAGAGAGCCAACGCCACAAACATAATTTGTTGGCGCTCCGCGCGGACTTCTTGGATCTGCGCTGGACCCCCCTCCCTGGCACGCGGAGCGCGCCAAGGGCCGCGCTGGAGGCACCGCCGGGGGGGGGCCCAGCGCGGATGCAAGAAATCCGCGCGGAGCGCCAAAAGATAATATTTATGGCGTTCTTCCTTCTTCAAGAGAAGGGGGGACTTCACGCAAGTCGAGGCTTCCTGCATGCCTCTTCGGCCCAGCGCTGCAAGAAAAGGTGGCGGGGGGGGGGACATGCCGTGCAAGCAAAGTCTTCGGAGCCTGAACATGAGAACGACCCCCTGGTCGGCGGCTATTGATGGGGGTGCCGGGGCTGGCCTGGTCGGTGCGGGGACGATAGGATGTTTGATAAAACTGATGGATCTCCCCGTTTCCAGAACTGGCGCGGGCTTCCACTTGCGGTTCCCTTGCTCCTGCCCTTGCCTCCTTGCTTGCCCTCTCCCGCTTCTTCCCTACTTTCCGCCGCCTGGCGGCTCAAGCCTTTTCAAAGGCCAAGCTGGGGGTCGGGTTCAGTTGGCCTAAGGCCGGGCCCCGGGACCGGGGCCAGAAGACTTTTCGGGACCCGGGGCCGGGCCCGAAAGGGGAAGCGCCCGCGGCCGCATGGAGCCGCGCCTGGCGCCGCGCGGCTGGAGGGCGGCGGCGACGCTGCCCGCGGGCGCGCAGCTGCGCAGCGGCGGAGGGCCCGGGCGCCGAGCGGCGCCGGCTCACGCCAGCCGCGGAGCACCCGATGGCGAGGAGGCGGCTGCCGTGGCGTGGCCGCCGCCGGCCACCGCCGAGCGGGCGGCCAGGCGCGTGCCAGCGCCGGCGCCGGCTCGACGCCAGGCGAGGGCGGCAGAGCGCACGTGCGCGCCAGGGCCCGCCTGGAGGAGCTGCCCCGGGGCCTTGGCGCCGCCGCCCTCGGGCGGACGTCGCGGCCGCATCGCAGCCCTGCTCATGATCATCGTGACGGCGCTGGAGACCGCAGACGCCGGGCCCGTGCTTTGGCGGACGGCCCCAGACTACGAGGCCGAGTGCGCGTGCCCGTCGTACTACGACGACGCGCCGCACGTGGACATGAAGCCATGTTGGCTTGACGGCACCGTGGTCCCCTTCCTGCACAGGGACACGCTGCCGATCGGGGCGTACCCCGAGGGCGAGCACGACGCTCCCGCGGGAGGTGCCGGAGGGGGTCCGCCGCGCGAGCGCTCCGCGCCGCCGGCCGATCCTCCTCCCCGGGGCCCGACCCATGCCCCCCCCCCAACTCCTCCGACTCGAACTCTTCGTCCTGGATCGGGGGTGGGGTCTTTTCGGCGTCAGTTGGAAAGACATCGGCAACCGCGCGCATTGGTTCGCCGAGGGGATGGGCGGGGGCACCTTCAGGGTTTTCGGCAGCTTCAGGTCCGCCTTTTCGACCCGTGAGGCAGGAGGCTGGCTGAGCTCGGACGGCGGCTGGGTGCTCTACATGACCGACCAGATGGGCCTCTACCTGTTCGGCTCCGCGTGGCCGCTGGTCGCCGGGCTCGTGGCGATCCTTGCCAGTACCGGCGTGGTCGCACTCTTGGCCCTCAGCCTGAGGACGCTCTTCGCCCCCTGCAGCTGGGCGGCATGGGCGCGCGGCCTGGCGTTGGCATGCTGCCCTTGCCCGCGACGCAAGACGCCTGGCGAGGCCAAGCTTGACAAGCTGGTCCCGCCGGCGGCCCCGCCCCTCACCGATGTGGCATGGCATGGTCCAGCCGTGGGTGCGGACCCAACCACAGATTGGTACCGCAAGAGCGTCGAGGAGGGCAGGGGCTCCAAGCGTGGCCAGAACGACCTCCTGATCAGGGTCGACTATCGGGTTGCGCGGCTCAAGCTCAACATGAAGTCCCCGGAGCGCATCAACCGCCAAGGCCTGTGGGTCGAGTACGACTCCGTGAAGGGCGCGAGCGACAAGGGCTTCCGACGCGAGCTCGAGCAGCGCGACCCGCGCTGGCTCCACCTGTGCCGCTCAGCCAGCTGCACTGGGTGCAAGGGGCGCGAGAACGAGCTGCACTGTAAGGAGTACGCAGCCATCGACAACGAAGCCATCGTCGACCTCAGCGACTACTCGAAGTTCTCGCCGTGCCGGATCTTCGTCTGGCTCTGGCGGTGGCTGGGCCGGACCTGCAAGCTGCTGCTGTACGTCATCTCGTGGATTTCGTGCTGCGGGGCGCGCCTCTGCCGCCGGCGACGCCGCCGTCGCAAGACTGGCGATGCGGAGCCTGGTGTGCAGGGGTCCGTGGCGAGGCTGCTTGACCAGGAGTCCGAGTCCGAGGTGGACGTTGAGGATAACCCCTGCGAGGCGGTGGAAGTGGGGCTCATGATCCAAGGCAAGATGCGATCACTAGCGCCTGAAGGCTGTCGCGACGCGGCGCGCGGTGAGCCGACCGTGCTGTTGGTGGAGGGCGGCCGAGCTTCGGACCTCAAGCCTCCTAGTGAAGGGAATGCAGCGGCCTGCCTATGCGAACATCACAAGCAGATCTACAAGGTCTTACGCTATTGCGAGAAGTGCTCCCAGGTAACGTGCTTCCGCGAGGCGGTGGGCATGGCCTCGGGGGTTCCACTCTGCCTGCAGCACCTAGGTGGCGACGCCGCCAAGGCGATCAACGACGCCCCCACAGGTGGCGGGTTCTTCGCGGGGCTGCGGCGCCGAACCCGGAGGAGCCCAGCTCCGCGGAGCCGCGCGCCGGAGCGTGCCATTGCCGCTCCAGCCCGGAGCCGCACCCCAGAGCGCTCCACCCCGGCGGTCTCTGCCCCGGAGGTGCCCACCAGCCCAGGCGATCCTGTTCCCGCACCTGCGGGGCCACCGAGCGTGCGGTTCGAGGCGCCGCCGGTCCCGGAGTTCCCCGAGCCGCCTACGCCGCCGCCCATGCCGCTCGGGCAGCATTTCATCGTTCGGGCGAGGGTGCAGTGGCCGGAAGGGGCGCAGCGGATGATCTTCAGGGGAAAGGCAGCCAACGCCACCGCGGCCATCGCGGTCGCCAAGTACCTTGACGGCGCGATGGCCCTCGAGGTGGAAGACCCGACAGGCGCCGTCATCCGCTTCCTGGTGAAGCCCGACGGCGTCATCCGTGCGCCTGCCCCGGGGCCCTCAGGGCGCCTGCCCGCAGGGTTCATCGAGGAGATGCTCCACCACGCGCCCCTGGGTTGCGAGGAGCTTGGCATCAGCGTCTCGGCGACTAACGTACCTGAGAAGGTCTGGCACAAGTTGGCTGCGTGGCACGGGCTCCCCGTGGGCGGCCGCGCTGGGCCGCTCAGCGAGGCCCGCTGGCAGCTGCTCCGCGAGAAGGTGGCCAGCTTAGTCCGGTGGCACCCTGAGGGGGGTGTGGCACCCAGCTCGAGCTTCGAGGCGAGGGCCACTGAGGCCGGCGCCAAGTTGCGCCGCCACTGGCAACGGCTAGACCGCAGCAGCTCGCCCAAGCCGCCAGCTGGGGCTGCCCGGCGCGGCTCGCGCTCTCCGTCAGCCGAGGGCGGGCGCGCAGCTAGCTCCGAAGCGCCTGCCTCGGGGGAGAGCCAGCGAGAGGACGACGGCGGGGACATGATGGCGTGCTACCTGGAAGAGAAGGCCCGAGGGTCGGGCGACGCAGCAGCGGTGCAGAGTGTGGCCGCCGGCTTCGGCGAAGAGGCTCATCAGGTGCTCGCCAACCTCATTCGTTGCGCCCAGCACCTCAGGCAGCAGACAACCGAGCCTGAGGAGCTCGCACGGCTCGATGGGCACATCGGCAGCTGGGAGGAACTGCAGCAGGTACCTTCGCGACCCCAGACCCCGGAGGCGGCGCCGAGCAGCCTGCAGGGTCTGCTCAAGCTCCCGCCCGAGCGCCACCGCTCGCAAGGGCCGCCGGCCACCCAGGCCGAGAGCGCGCCCTCGATCGAGATGAGGCCGCCCCGCCAGCCGGCAGCGCCCGCACCCGCGCTCACACTCGGGCTGCGGGGCGCCGGCCCCCTGCCGGCCACGGCTGGGCTCGCCCCGGTCGCTCGCCCACAAGCTCCAAACATTGGGGCTTTATTCCGCTACGACCATCACGTCAGCGACTTGGGATTACCCCCAGGTCTGACAGCAGCCCCGGCACGCTACGCCGCGGGAGCCCCAGAGGAAGGCGGAGGAGGTGACCCGTTCGGCCTCATGCAGTCCGGAGCGCCCTTGGATGCGAACACTGCGCGGATGCTGCACGCCCTGGAGGGCGTCGCTAGCGCGCGCCAAGGCGACAAGGCGGCCCAGCGCGGGACGGTGGCGGCGTTAGGAAGGGCGGAGGAGTTGGACGTCTACTTGGCGCGCGGGTGCGGCCAGCTGACGGTGGTGGTCTGCGACGAGGTCCTTGGGCGCGAGCTGTTCTATGTTCTGCGCCGGACCTGCGAGCAGAAGAAGGCCCTGATGCTGGCGGTCGAAGCGCCCACGACGGTGTCCAACAGGATCGCGATGGCCTGCGCCTCGCTCAGCTTCGGCGGCAGCAGCCTGGACAACCTGGCCCCGTGGGCGGCCTCAGCGGCGGACTTCCCGACATGCAAGACGGTCGCGTTCGACAAGTACAGCGCGCCGCACGACGCCAAGCTGGAGCCCAGGCCCAGGGCGCCGGTGGTCTTTGACCAGTGGAAGCGGCAGGCCCAGAACATGGCCAAGTTCTTCGGGCTCGTCTTCGGACGGGAGCACGTCAAGGAGCGTCTGGACTGCCTGGAGACCCTCGCGCGGGAGTGCGAAAAGGACGACCGCGCCTTCCCGCCCAAGTTCGTCTATGAGCTCTGGGAGGAGCTGTGGTCGACCTGGTGTGAACGCCTCCGGGAGAAGAAGCGAAGCCTGCGGGTGCTGCAGACGGACAACCCACGGAAGGAGGACCTCAAGATGGTGGCCTTCGCCCCCAAGGCAGATGGCCGTCCGGCGCTCGTCTTCCCCAA